GAAATTTCAAACTCGATCACTTCCATAACACTAAAATATCAATGCTAAGTCTTTTACTCTGCTTAAATCTAGGTATGTAAATTATCTTGATATTTGTCAAATTACATATATCTTCATTATGTACAGTTATTTGTTCACAATTATTAGTTACTAAGTTATTTACTCAAGCGCTGGGTTGATGGGATACTAAATTTCCGTGCGGAATGGATTGAATAATCAGTAAAACTGTCTCATATGAACCGATTAGGGAGTTTATTGGTTTGTGGATTATTTAGGGTTATACAATATCGTGGATTGATTGTAGCTGGATATTTACACCACTGTGTCATCCAGTGGTCCAAACGTTAGGCATTCGCCAGCGAGATCAAAGGTCTTGGGTTAGATTCCCAGCTCTAGGTTCGTGAACGCACTACTAATGAGTCCCATACTATGATTAAACGACCTTCTAATCCTTCCGTGTTTCCAATAACGGTCCAGCTAAAATCACTTTGTGATTTAAACTGTGAAACTTCTACAGTTCCCACAAATCTCTTTCTAACCTTGAAAAGCTTTATAACCATGTTAAAGAAGTGTATCGACTCTAAATTTTCTTGTTTCTATGATATATTCTTACTTTATACCGACTACATTTCTGATTAGCTGAAATTTCCCAGGGTCACTTAAAGTTGTCCATAAATTATAGTCCCACCCTTTTCTCTCGTTTAATTGATTGATCACTGACCATGTTCGTTTAAGTCGTTTAGTGCTGAGTGAATTTTATCGACCAAGCTTCAGTGTGACTACCATGTTCAGCGACTTGACACCGTGTGCACGTTATTGAGATGTTAGATAGTTGGAGCTAGAGTACAGATATTTATGTTTTAATTATTTAAACACATAAACATTGGTACAAGGAGGCATCAATAGATATGCGCCACATAAATTATTCGATTTATGTAACGGTTGGGATACCACTCGGGTGCTTAAACAGGTGGTTTTCTTGGGAAGCCACACCCGGAGCCTTCGACCTAAAGGTTCGACCGACAAGGCAGTGGAGCAACGACAGAAGATGCAGTCCCATGGTAGCTGGTGACCAACAATTGGTTCATACACCATTTGTTTCCTTAGGATCCTGGGGCCCATATGAACCACTGTTTGTAATCAGGGTTTTCCAACTCCCCTAGGTGGATCCTCTGTACCCACCAAGGATACAAGTGTACAAGGAAATTTGAACCTAGGTTTCTCGATCTTCAGCACCTGTTGGCAAATTACAACTGTAATGCTAAAAGATCTGATATCCCCAGCGGAATTGAATCCGCGTTACACAATTTCATAATCTGAGACGTCATCATTAAGGTAATTTCTCACTTATATTCAAAGATAGAATATTTAGTAATGTTAGACTAATGTTAGGAAGGAACAACAACGGGGCGAATTTCCATGCATATAGCATGTAATTCTCTTTAAACCTAGCACACAATAATAGCATCATGCACTGTCCCATCGACCTTAGCAGATCAGTCAACCCGAAAATTACGAGAATACCATTAGGGCATACGACAGGCTAGGTTAGACTAATGTTAAACTGTTCAATTTACTCAAAAGTATGTCCTATTCATATCAATATATTATACATGCTGTATACTGTTTATGCTTGTGTTTATAAACTTTGGGGGCTAAAACACTGATCTCTGTTGAAGTAATTGATACTGAGTTCATAAATGATCGCAAACATCAACACTATGATGTAGATATATCCATCTGACTAGCCTGAAGTAGGATGAAATACAATGGAAACGGTATTATTACATAAATTGTTATCTTTCTAATTTTTCTGATTAATTAGGCTTAGAGATAATCATTGTAGAAAATCCAGTGGATAGACATAACTATCTTTGAAAAATGCATTTGACATAATACATTTCATACAAACTACATTATTGAAGATGACTGAATAATAATTAGTTTATGCTGGGTTGAACGAGGAAAGTTACCAATCAACTATTAGTGGTATTATATTTATCTTTTCCTGATTACACTGGATCATGTGTCTTGGCAGCATCATCAATGAACAAAGAGGATCTGATGCAGATGTGAAAGCAAAGATTAGCAAATTAACGGCAGCATCCTAACAACTGAATAATATATGGAACTCAAACTAATTGTCAATCAGTATCAAAGTCACAATCTTCAATGCAAACGTCAAGACAGCCCTACTATACAGAGCTAAAACTAAGAGAACTACTACAACCATCATCAAAATGGTACGAATATTCATAAATAGATGTCTACGCAAGATACTCAATATCCGTTGGCCGGATACCATCAACAACATCCTACTGTGGGAAAAGACAAATCAGCTTCCAACTGAAGAGGAAATTAGGAAAAGACGTTGGAAGTGAATAGGATATACATTGAGGAAATCATCAAACTGTATCACGAGACAAGAGCTAAATTGGAATCCTGAAGGGAAGTGGAAAAGAGGAATGCCGAAGAACACATTACGTCGGGAATTCGAAGCAGATACGAAAAAGATCAATAACAACTGGAAATAGCTGGAAAAGATCGCCCAGCACAAGTTGGGATTGAGAGTGCTGGTGGATGGTCTATGCTCCTCCACGGGAGGTTAAAGTTGTAAGTAAGTATTATTGAAGTTTAAGTAAACGAACAAGTATATTGTTACTATAGAACTAAAACAAAATAAAACTTTTACATCGGTAAGTAGGAATGTGATCAATGGTAATGACAACGTTACAAAACAATTGACATCATACATTCTCTAAGAGAATAAAAAGCATTTGATAATATTCATACTGAGTTTACTACACACCCTTTGAAATTTGATTATTTGTAATATATACACACACGTTATAAAAATACATTCTCTGAATTCATACAGCTTATTCTTTAAATTTATTACAGCTAAACTCAATTCACATTTGAATTTACAAAAACCAAAATTCAAAAAATTTAATACAGAACAAATATAACATAAATATGTATAACCTAATGCTAAATATTTGCTTTATTTTTTTAGACTACTTATATTTTTATTCAGTAGTCTGCTATGATAATCAACATTTTATTTTGAAAAGCTTTCATATCTACTTTCTTAATTAATATTTATTTATACATATCAAATCGAACTGGATCTAAGTAATTCAACTAAATTCCTTTCTAATATAACAATGTTTATCACTAATTGAATTCATCAAAGATAATGAAATGATCATTCACTAATGATGATTATGTAATGATGAAATGAAAATACTAAGAACAAAACATTCTTTGAAACATTCCATGATTTATTGATAATCAATATTGATTGATCTCTAATCAATTGATTTTATTACAGAGATGATCATTATTTTTTTCCCATAACAATAATGAGATTCATCTAAGTAATCACGTTCAGTATCAATACACATTAATAATAGTAATAATAATAACTAGTTCCTAATGTATATTAAATGATGATATTTTATGTATGTGATAAATATACTACTTATTTCATTGTATTCAATTGTTATTTGATCAATGTAATTTCAATACTTCATATGTATGATTCCGTTGTGAGTTTGTTTATTCTAATTCAATGAAATTAGTACCAGAAGGAGGTTTTTCTTTATGGAGATTGTAATCATTTTAATAGTAGAAATTATGAATTAATTGAAGCTAGATTATGATGGAAAACATGGAAATATTGGAATTCAATTGGATCTGTTGTAAGATAATAATTCACTGAAGACTAGAACTCTAAAAAATCATCTCTTGAAATCAGTTACTAGTGAGCATATTCTGTTTGGTGTAAGATAGTAACTCATTGGTGACAATGGTAGATGTGTCGTTCAATTTCGTGGATTAGTTGAAGTTATACAATATTACCGTTGGATGCCAGCCAGCTCATTGGCCTATAAGTTAAGTGTTCTCACGTGAGACCGAAAGTCTTGAGTTCTGTTATATCCTAGCAAAGATTAAATTACGAGTAACTTCTGAGACCTATTGATGGACTAATATTATCTATATATTCTTATGGTATAACTATTCAGTAATTAGATTGTGTATACCTATATTTCCCTTATTATAAGCTTCATTTTGACCTATAGATTATTATTGTACGATTTACTGTCCCTATGTTATACTCAGTTTATTAATTACTATCTCCCACGTTCACAGCCACTTTTTGGCTTATTTGTGTATGAATGTTACTTCCTATTTTATGGTGCGTTGCGGTCTGTTTGCTTGATATATAAACCCAGTATGTCTAAAATAAATGATTTGCATAGTGGAGGCCGTTATTGACATTCTGGACTCAGCTAGACGGGTTAGACGATCAACACACCAATAAGACGGTAGGCTGATCAGACCGGTTGGACGTCGTTGGTTTAGTACAGTACAAGAGTGAATAAGTCGTATTTTGATTGGCGAATAGATTACGTGATAACTAGTGGGCCATAGCGTCACAACAGGTTCAAATCTCACGAGGCGGGATCGTGTATGCGCGCTGCCTAGGAGTCTCACATTAGGACGAAACGACCATCCAGTACTTTCGGGTTTTCCATGGTGGTCTAGCTTTAATTGACTCATGATCTTAACTATTTAAATGAAATTACTTATAACACCAACTTGTATTCAATTACTGGTTTACTATGACATGTATAGAACTATTCAAGGAGAGAATTCTATAGTAATGCATTTATAATATTAAACAAGAATCATACAATATATTACAAACCATTTCAAAGTAAAAAATAATCAATGACTGAAGTCTAAACCATGGACTGATTGATAATATCCCGATTGAAATATTTAATGGCTGTGAATGAAATTTACCTACCCTTAAACTAGGCTTAAAGAGCTATTCATTGTTCCGCGGTCTTCACAAGAATCTTTTAAAATGATATCAGTTTATTGATGATTATGAATTTCAATAAATCTGGAAAATGTCATTATGAAACTGTTATAACTTGTGAGTTTGTGCCCTATCAATGTATAATGTGATGATACCGCCAATTAGAGAACAGTGAATTATCGACTGGACTAATGACGCGTAAACCCGTACGAGCAGTCTAGAGTCTTTATTGGTCCTGCTTTCCGCCTATCCCAGCCAGTTAAGTACAGAACACCAATCTCAGCCTTTGTAATATGAATCATGTATTTCAAACATACTGGGTTTATATACCAACCAGAGAGACCACATCGTACCATAAAATAGGAAGCAACAGTTGTGCAAGATTTAGCCAAATGTGGCTGTGAATGTGGGAGGTAGTAATTAATAGACTGGGCATAACTCAAGAACGGCCAATCGTATAATAATAGTTCATTGATCAAAATAAAGCTTATAATATGAGGAACATGAATATGAATAGTTTAACTACTAAACCACTATACAATCAAAAATATACATATTGAATTAGTTTAGAAATAAATTCCAACAATTACCCTTCATTATTCTCATCAGGATATAACAGAAACATAATGAATTACATGAATCAATAAACAATCTCAATCATGCATTACTGATATCAGTATCATATAAGATTGCCTAAAAACAAAATGGAAATCGATAGTAGATCAATAACGAAATCATCTACAAAAAAACTTCTAGATATCAAATGACATTAAACAATTATAAAGTCTTTGATTGAGATCATGAACCGATTGATGTTAGACCACCAGTGAAAACCTGGAAGCACTGAACGGCCGTTTCGTCCTATTGTGGGACTCATCAGCAGTGCGCATCCACGATCCCGCTCACGGGATTCCAACCCAGGGCCTTCAGTCTCGCGCGCGAACGCTTAACCTACTGGACCACTGAGCCGGCCGGCATCCAATGGTGTTAATGTCTAAACTCAACCAATCCACGAAATTGCGCGACCATCTTCCGTTGTACTGAGGTAGACACCTGTTTCTACCCGACACGGATCAACTCTACTGATCATGGCTTCTCACCAGAACTCCGAGAATTTTCTCACGAAGCTAATCACTAGTATGCACATGGTAATTATCAGTTTAGGGGTTGTGGAGATTGTTAAGTTTTTGATTGAGATCATGAAGTCATAATTTAGAACTATTTTATCAGTATAACTGTTAATTCCATACAGAAATGAGTATATATAAGCTTAAATTGTAAGGGTTACAGTAGACATAGTAACAGGCATTCTAGTTTATAAATCTATAACCTTGATAACAAAAATTGTCTTGAAATGACTTGTAGTGTTGGTTATTATTATTATTATTAAGCCCTTATAACTTATTCTACCTTTCGGACAGACCAATCTATTCATGAGCGTATGTATGAGTGTGTACACTTCTTATCCTATTCATCACATATCTGTAAACTATTTTTTATCTGGCTATAAATATTGATTAACGCTTGATTAAATGAATTCGACTGACAAGCCATCTCCATTGTGCGTCATTTCGCTTCGCTCTCTTCTATTCGCTTCATCCATCTTATTTCCTGTCTAGATCAGTGAGTGTACAAAATATATGTATTCGTAATCCTTTCTCGTATTCGACTTATTTTAATTCGGTTATTCACTAATGCGAATTAAATCTATAATGCCCTGGCACAACCGAAGGTAGGGAGAGTCAGCTCTTCTTCTCCAAACGCTCTCACATGGCCATGCGTATACAGTCACTGACAGGGAAGTCCTAATCACTGCCTTCTCGCTGTATCACTGTTCGTTAAGAAATTGAGACGATGAAAAGCGAATGTCAGGCGCTCTATGTAGATACAGAGCATCTACCTAGGGGAGTTGGAAAACCCTCATTCCAGACCAATAGTGTACATGGGCTCCAGTATACTGACGTATGAACCAATTATTGGTCACTGACTATCAACTCCACTAGGTGGGTCATCCGTATCCACCAACCCAGCTAAAGTGTCGGATATTCGCTTTTCATCCTCTCAATTTAGCAAACAACAGCGATACCACGAGAAGGTAGTGAGTAGGACTTTGCTGACAGTGCCTGTTTACGCGTGTCTATGTGAGAGCATTTGGAGAGGGAGAGCTGACTCCCTCCGCCCTCGGCCGTACCAAGACATTTGGAGGAATGAGAGGAAAAATCACATCAGTTTTGATGTGAGCCGAAATATAGAGGAATGTCATTCAAATACAATAAAAATGAAAAAAGTGATTGTGAGACAGAAGTCGAATGTAGTGATCACTGATTTTGTATAGAAATAAGAGACAATCTATTATAATAATTATTTATTCACAGAGTTAATCTGTCCATGTTCTGAAATTACCAATCAAATCTATGTATTCACTGTCTTCTCGCTACGGGGGTGTTTTTATGAAATTGAGAGGACGAAAAGCGTAAGTCCGGGTTGTTGGATATGGATAAACCACTCAAGGGAGTTGGAAAACCCTGATTTCAAAACAATGATGCACATGGGCTACAGGATCCTGAAGGAACAAACAGCGTACGAATCTGTTGTTGATCACCGACTAATATGGGACTACATCTCCTCCCGTCGCTGCACTATCTTGTGGATCAAACCTTTATATCGATGACTCCGGATGTGAACCCCTAGGAAAACCACCTTCTTCAGTCTGCGCACCCGGATAATATCACAGATCACACACAAATCAAGTGAATTGTGTGACGCATATCTATTCGGTGCCACTTTGTACCAATATTTGTGTTCAAATAAAGATATATATTTCAACAGGAACCATTCATACGATCTCATTGCTGACAGATGTCGGGATGTTAAACAAAGAAACCTTAACTTATTTAAACTATTTCGGTTTCTTTTTAAAATACAGTTAACATAAGGAAACAAATGTAAACAAGATCATAAAACATCACAGATTCTTCTAATACCTTATATATTTATATAATATATATATAAATATCATAGCATTTATAATGATATAATGCTTCAATTATTAAAGTATGGAATATTGAACAGATGATACTTGGACCCTTCCATTATATTCTTCATCTAAACATAAGAAAATTATGCAACAGTAAAAATATATATTACTGAAATATTACAAGTATATGATTAACCAAGCTGAATATAATATGGATAATGTTTTCTTATAAAAGTTATAGGATAGTGAATGAGAACACAATTGAAGACTCATAGAATGTGGCTATTAAGACTCAGTAGCTAAGTGGATAATGTCATGGCAACTGATCGAATATATTTTAATACAAAAATTACAAAACATTTTAGTAAAATATGAGAACGATACAGTAAATACTTTATTTACAAAATGTCATTCAGTCGTCTTACACTTCATTGTTCCTGCAATTCCATACTAATTACTTTCTGTTTCTGTTCTTTCCTTCTCGATATTCTTGACCTTCTGTTGTGAGACATTCTATTCCTGATTAGCGTTATATACTACTTATGTCGATATAAGTAACACGCACCGCAATAGTACAAAATTAACTCATATGAATCTATGCCATATAATGTAATACAATGATATGAAATTTAATAGGATGTATAACAAGTCATGATACAATGTAAAACATGTCGTACAGGATCCTAACTACTAATTACTTATATCAGTCAGTCAGTTACAATGTAGGACCAGGCACATACATGCATCGGTCCAAGTTGCCACACCTCATTAGCACAACAAGACGAACACCGGATTCATAGAAGCAGTTGACTCAATTGTGTAATATATGAAGGAAAGGTTTTATGTAAGGATAAAGTACAGAAAGGAAGAACGATTTCGCAGAAAGAAAGATATGAAATCATTTTAATGTCATAGTTTAAGGGAAAACAAAGAGTGTATACACCGACGCCATTGTGATCGATTTTGGGCCATGTCACCCAGAGTCTTCAACCATTGGTTACGAAAGTCACGCGGACCCCAACCAAGTAGTCTACATCTACCAACGTGGCTCAAACTAGAATTTAGTGCCTTCATCAAGCACTAATGCCACATTTTAGTTTGACCGCCCCTAACTTTCTTCCAACCATTCCCAACACTAGTCAGCATTGCGTGTCTTGGCAATCGGTGTCCAGGCATACGTAACACGTAATGGTTTGAATTATGAAGAGTAGACGAGTTTATACCGAATAAATTGACTTAAATCTAATAACACTTTAAGTAAAGATGTTAGTTGCATTTTGTACTGCAACTAATCAGTAAGCTTACAGTCATCCACATCAACTTCCAAAACGATGACTAAGTACTGGACTTTTATTGAAAAACATTTTAGTCAATCACTAAATTGTGAATAACGTAGAATATGGCAGCGAAAGAACAAATACATCTGACTTATTTCAACTAATGTTAAGTCATTTCGTTCAAGTTTTTTTCCGAAAACGAAGAGTTCGAACGAACATGCTGTTATTCTGAAATTTCATTGATATTAACTCAAGAATCGTAGTATTTAAAGTATCATTTCCTTCAAGACTTTTTGTCATACTTTGGCATTTTTCTCCTATTTTTTATTTTAGTTTCTTTATCATTCTTAATTGGTTATGATCTTATCTGTATGCCACCTATCCTAATCCTAATAACTAACTTTGAGATAGATTCTTGAAGTACTTAAGAGAAATCACGATTAATGGAATTCATTCACATTGGAAATGAGAAGGTATATAATAATATTAACAATGTTTTGTATACTGGATAAAATTAAAGATGTCAGACACTGGATTATCCTGACTAAAAAAATCCATAAGTTTTGAGTTCAATCATAAAGTAAAGTCATGAATAGGTATTACTAAGTAGTTTAGATGGTAGTTGGAGGTAGTCAACAGGAAACCCTGGACTAGACAAGCATGACATTGATTACCACCCAGTGATCAGTCAATTGTGATTACATCTCAGTCCTACAGGAGGTTATTCACGGCTCGGATAGCTCAGTGGTAACGTCTCTGACTGTGAAGCTGGGCGACACGAGATCGAATCCGCCAGGGAGCACCAGCTCCCTCAAGATTACAGGTACACCTTGCTGACGAGTGCCAAGTAGCACGAAACCCGGGTCCAGGGTTTCCTGTTGACTACCTCCAACTACCATCTAAATCTCAATGCATAGTGCCCGCAGTGTCGAGTCACCTAGACTGGTGGCCACATTGCAACATGATCGATAGCATTCGATCTGCACTAATAAGGACTAGACAAGCATGACATTGATCACCACCCAGTGATCAGTCAATTTTGATTACTAAGTAGTCTCGAAAAAAAATAAAGCAAAACAACTGACCATTCTTGTATAATATTGAGAACCATTTTTATCTAATTTCAGTATTAAACATAACTTTGAATTTGCAAGTATGAAAAAATAAACTTAAATTTAATATCAAAAATGGGCTTTTGTGAATATTATAGTAACTTCAATAGTTTATATCACGAGTCGATTGAAGTCAGACCACCAGGGAAAACCTGGAAGCACTGAACGGCTGGTTCGTGCTATTATGGGACTCCTCAGCAGTGCGCATCCACGATCCCGCTTCCCGCGAGATTCGAGCCCAGGATCTATCGTACTCGCACGCGAACGCCTAACCTATAAACCACTGAGCCGGTCGGCATCCGATGGTGTTAATGTCTAACCTTAACCAATCTACGAAATCGAGCCACTGTCCGCTATTGTCTTCAGTGAGTTACTACCTCACAACAGACAGCATATGCTCACTAGTGACTGACTTCAAGAGGTATTTCCTGTAGCTCTAATGAAAAACAATGACCAGTGGAATGAAACGGCCATCTAGTGCTTCCACATTCTCCATGATGGTCTATCTTCAATCCGCTCGTGATCTCGATTATTAAATCCAATTTAATACATTAACAAACTTTCATTCTTACCTTTATCAATTTCTTTCTATCAATATGAGTACCTTTTATCCATTTATCTTCGAAATCTCAACTGATACAATATTGGATCACTATGAATGATAACATGATGAATTAATTCATTTTATAAAATCGGAGAGACTATAATTTATGGACGAACCAATCAGATATAGGATAACAGATCTTGGATTTTAGCGTGAAATTCGCTCATCTATTTGGCTAAATAGAGTTTTGGCATTATAGCTGATATCAACTCGTAAGAAAAACTCAAAATCTAATTTCTAGTCCTAACCATCAAATGTAAATCATAACTCTAATACCTCATACAGGTTTACAACACTCATTTGGTCCTAGTTCTTAGATGGACACTCTCAGGGTCAATTTAGCGTTGCTCAATGGTCGTCTATAAAATATAGTCTCATCAAACAACCAATTACAACTTACATAGTTTTATAAAGTTCACGATTTTTCTGTATTAATTTATAATTTGGATTCATTTTAAAACCTTTAATTTGTGGATAACCACGTTGTCCTGGTGATAATAATGTAAAAAATGTTGTCGGTACAAGAATACGTTTCATTTGATCACAGTAGAGATTATAATTATTTAATGTAATCCTAGAAACTATTCAGAATTTTTGTAGTAATTAAAAGTGTAAAGAATAATACTGATCTCACTACTTACTATGTGAATTCAATTCAATGCCAACAAGAATAACACTGACATTACTTTTAAAATGAATAGGACCAATAAATTTCACAATTCCTTCGTAACGATTCCATAATTTAACTTTATCATTCAATTTACATTTAACATGAGTATATTGTTTATTTTCTAGTTTATTATTAAAGCATTGACAAATATCACAAACACAATTTGATAATGTTAGCTTGGATTTATTTTCAGTATTCATTGACAGATTTCAAACATTACATAACTATTGTTTACTTTTATTACAAATCTATAAAAATCGTAGAAAACACAAAAGTTATTGTGACCTGCTAAGTAAACTGAATGCTAATAGTAGAAATATTGCGTAACACTTTGTCTAAATAATTTATCACAATAATTTTAATGGTTGAGATCATGAGTCAATTGAAGCTGGACCACCATTTTCTTGAGTTCCAGAACAGTAGAAGTGAAGAAAGCCTGAAACCAACCATATCAGCTAACCTCCAACTTTTCAACAAATCATCAACTAACAGAACTAGTTGCAGAGACCATTGGCTACAGCTACTTCGTTGAATGCTAGTAGAAAACGGTTGAGTCAAATGAAAGACCTCCAACATGATGACGAACACACCCACCTAGCCTTCCCTCCTCAAACTGAAAGTACTTCAGTGAAAATAGGTAATGTCGAGCAAAACATCTATTAGACAAGAGCACGTGTCGAACGATAAAAATTCCTGACAGCATGTGAAAGTACGCTGGTATAATGGATTGTACCTCATCAGGTCCATATCACATACAATAATATCCAACTTTTAGTTGCGAGATGAACGAATAGAGACTATTTGGTCCAAAAAGATACAGTGATTGATTATTTCCTTGTGAAAGCTAACTGATATAAATGTTGTTAACTGGGTAGATGTAAAATTTTTATTTAGTACTTAACTACCAATAAATTCAAATGATACCATTGAGCCATCCAAAAGTTGTGTTTCCTGAGTCAATTAAAGACTAGGCCAACATTTTCTAATCCTATGGTAGATCAACAGACAAGTACCAAGATATAGTATTAAAACCCGATAAGCGAATTTTAGTTGATCTGTAGCGGTAAATAAATCCCCAAAATAAATAGCCCTGTAAGTTTTCGACATTGGATGCTGACCATATGTTTTAGTGGACTCATCTAGCTGAAGGCGCTCGGTCAGGCATCCGCACCAGATCACGTGTGGCAACGCCGTGCTCAACATCAACCGCAATCGCTAGCCAGATTAGATCAGAGAATTCCGATATATTGGTAATCGCCAAATACACTCTTCCGATCTCCTCGACTCTGTCTTTTGATTTCTCTGGGTGGGAACGAAATATATTAGAAGATTTTACTGGTAGAAGCGTTGTCAAACACTGATTACCTGTGACATCATCAGACCTATCCCCAAGCTCCCAATTTTGGGGAAAATTTGACCCATTTTGGGGAAACTTTGGGTAAGCCGCTTTAGTAAATTTTGAGGAAACTTTGGGAAAACGGCACAAAAACCCCAAAATTTCCCCAAAGTTGGGACCTTGGGTCGCCTTGTATTTTGGTGTAGTCCAACCAGGATAGTGCCAAAATTTCTTGTCAGAGGTACTCAATTGCTCATATGATCCTAAAAAATTTCCAACAGATAGTTATTTATATCAATTCTCAGTCTACTGTACGCTGATTATAATCAATAGGCAAGCTGTAATATTGTCAAACAACTGCATGTTCAATGGTCAGTCTACCACACATTTGAACCGTAATCCAAGCACGCATAATAAGATGGAAAAAGCTCTAGAAGTGATTGTTAAACAACCTTATCAAAAAAAGTGTGGCAGTTTGCTTATATTTAGAATGTAATTTGTGTTTTACAGGAGGATTCAGAGTATGGTGAGTTAGAGGTGATGGAAAAAGAACAAAAACAGGTAAATCGAGGAACCAGGATGTGCATACAGTTTACTTACACGTACTGAGGACGACAATGGACAATGAGCAATAAATCAATCCTCAAATCAGGAAAATCTTGAAATCGAAATTAGGAACAGATAGTTTGACTTGCTAGAAACATGCTTATTTGAAGTGGGCGCTGTCTCCGTAGATCATAACAACGACAGAAACTATGCGGTCAAACTATCCAATGGACAGCATATCCAAAGCTCAATATCTTTGTAGCAAGCTTATACATGCCAACAGATTTCTTTGCGCTCTTCTATTGTTGTTTCAATACGTTTTTAAATGTTTGATAATGTTCAATGTGTAAAAGTCCAACGGTAAGGTCGAAACGAACTTTGATTTAAGATTACTGACTAATTGATTGATTGAATGATTGATCGATCGAATCACTACCCTTTAATAGAGAGGGTGCTGTTAGTTGGAAACTAATCAAGCAGAAAATTTATACCTATTTCGCAGAGACATTTACTCCAACAGCATTTACAGATAGATGTTCGAGTTAAACACTATGGTCTTATGTCTTCAGTTTTTAATAATAAAGATATTAGGTTGGTGAACCAGTGCTAATCCTGACAGTTTGCCTTCCAGTGAAAGTCCAGCTTTTTGAAAGTATTCACCGATGGGGCTGATACCTCTTATTCGGGTAAGGCGTTCCAGTCATTGACTACTCGATGACAAAAACGGGACCCCACTTTAAGTTTACTAGATCGCGGGTTTTGAACCTTCTTGCTGTGACCTCTGAGATTATTAGTGCTGGAGGGAGCAAAAAGACAAGACATATTAACACCTAACTCATATGTGAAGATACGATGTGCCAGTATGAGGTCACCTCGTTTTAAGTGCTCATCTTTCCTACACTCTGAACACGCTTAAGCGAGTTAGTATCCTTTATCAGACATGAGCTAGCTGCTTGGATACAGTACTCTAAGTGTGGTCTTACGCAGGTGGGACATAAAATTCGAAACATTCCTTTGTCAAAGCATTTGAGTGCTCGGCGAAATGACCATAATGCGCGGAAACCTTTGGCACCAGATGCGTCGCCAATAGCAGTTGTTTTCGAGTCATGATTTATTATTACTCCTAATTTTTTAAGTTCCTTAACGCGTTAAAGATATGTTCCACCAATAATATAATGGTAACTATCACTGTCCGATTCGCATGAGCACAGTCTTCCTAGAAATAACTTCCGGGCCCCAACCTCGAGCCCATCTAACTAATTCGTCTGAGTCAACTTGGAGATCAAAATGATCAACCTCAATTTTTATTGTTCTCCAGATTTTGACATCATCCGCCAATAATAATGTTGATGACTTAAGCAATAGCATTGATTCATTAACGTAGAGAAGGAACAGAAGAGGGCCTAAAATGGTGTCTTAGGGTATACCATCTTTGACCGACTTCCAATCGGATGGAGTGCGACTAGCCCTCACTCTCTGTCCGTGGTCACATAAGAAGTTTCCCATCCATTCCTGTACGCCACCTGTCATTCCGAATTTCTAGAGCGTCTGCATAAGACCTGAGTGTGAAATCTTGTCAAATGTGTTGCCAAAATCTATGAATATCACGCTGATAGACAGACAGTTATCTAGGGTTTCTGTCCAATCCTTTCTCACAATAATTAAGTTAGCCCAGCATGGACGCTTGTTACGAAACCCATGTTGCTTGGAAGTAAAAAGATTGTGCGGATCTGCGTGACTATTTTTTCAGGTAACTTAACGACTATGCTGGTTAGACTGACTGACCAGTAGTCTCTGATCATCCTTAAATATAGGACTGTGGCGTCTTTCTACTCTCTAGGGAGTTGGAGGAGTTGCAGAGGCATGTTGAAGAGCGTCGCCAGCAGTCTTGAAAGAAGGTCCGCATGAGATGACTGTAGTCGTGGATGCTAATCGTTAGGGACCGGTACCTTACAATAGAAGAATAGTTTCCTCGGTCACATGTACAGACCCTGTGCTTGATATCTTGGTGTGATTGGGACAAGTATTTTTAGATTTCGCCAAAATACTTTGAAAAAGTCTCAGCTTTTCCCTGATCTGACTCAGATAGTAAATCTGAAGTTTTGTGTAACAGTAACAGCAGAATACCATCACTACGTTTTGTTCGCCGTTTAACATGCGGAACCAATCGTTTCGGACAACTACGGCTGTAATACACCAGCTGTCATCCGTAAATAGCAAGGGATTTAGCTATGGTTCTTTTACATATACTCCGCATTTTTGCATTCACGCTTAAATGATGCGTGTCCTGTCGATAGGAATATGTTCTAGAAGTGTTTCCTACTTTTCAACAGCTCCCGAGTTTCCTCAATAACCCATGGAGGGCAATATGTTAGATTACATGTTGGCCATGGGATAAACGGTGGTGTTGCGAACTAGAATGTGGACTTAAACTTATACCATTCATCTCCGATCGATCCATCCGCATTGACCGACCAGTCAGCCATTGCATTTCAATACTAGCGTCAGTTAGACATATCATCATTAAACCGAACTTGTCAGTAGGTGACTTAAAAGCTCCCATACCATTAAAACCTATGTATTTCGTGTAGTTAGAAACGGTTTAATAGTGCACGTGAATTCGTGATGACCAAATTAGATTTTACGAAAAGATCCGGTCACCTTGCGGGATACATAGTGCATTTCTCGGCTTATCAACACTATCCAACCTAGTCACTTTAACAACAAGAATTTCTGAAGATAAATGAATTTATTTTTCATCTCAAAAATATTATCTGTGTTTTCACCGACGTTGTCGCTAAGGCACTGATTAATAAGCTGCCACAGTACAATAGGTTCTGAGTATCCAGACCCAAATGCACACTTTTATAAGCTGGTGCAAACAAGATGGTTTTGTAGAATTATGGTCTAGTATGTTATTAGTACTGCTCTAATAATAGACCTAATCCTAAATTTGTAGATTTGTCATGATATAACTCCCTAATCTATAAGATCTTACGTGGAAGTCACACCATCGACTACACCAACTCACTGTATCGTATCAATTACCAATACAGAATGTAGAACAAGGTTAGGCTATAGAAAGAACAATATATTTAATATGAATAGAAGATATAAGGTAGCATTCAGCAGAGACCACGCCTGCATGACCGAGCCATGCCACTCGACCAACTTCAGTCCATTCAATTCATTGTTCGCGCCTTCTCCATCGTTAGGTATTTCTCCGCGTTAAATATTGAATATCTATTTTCTGAGTAGTCTTGTGTTCACAGCTTTGTGGATTGTGCGGTTATTGTTCAATGCCACTACAGTTTCTTTGCACTGACGCCTCGACGGTAAGGTACGTATCAGGCATTTTGGACTTCGTTCGCCGATTGCGACGTTTAAAACCAAACTTTATATGTTATTACATAGATTTCAATTAATTGTTATCCATAACCAAAAGATTTTTATGGCACTAACGACGTCATTGGAAATAATAAGAACTGTAGTGACTCACATTTATCACGAGAACACGACTGGTTTAATAAAAACAATTATTATTATAACCAACTGTACCAGTGTTTGTTTTAACGTGCTTTTGTTTGACTGTGCTAATGACAGCTATTTTGTGCTTCCATTCTTCTACACACACTTTGATTGTAACTTCGCGCGAATTCGGTTACGTTCTGTAACCAAGCTTGTATTCTGGCACGATCTCGGTATCCTTTCGATGCCACGAGATCGCCAGCGAATACATCTCGATTTGGTCCATTAACTGTCTTCTGATATTTGGCTTCTCGGGGATTTTATGGATCTATTTGGTTACGTCCAACCCTCGCCTTCTGATTTATTTGGCACGTGTTTCTTGGTAGCGGTGTTCATAGTCAATTTCAACTCGACGCCACGCTACAATTGGTGAGCCGTATTTTGGAACACGCCTCAACATCTGGTCAAATCTTCCAAAGAAGCCAATTCGGTGAGTCTATGATTTATCTATCCACGTCTGTCGTATATTTTCATATTTTTTAATATATAATATACGCGACATGACGGATAACGATTAAAATAGTATTAATATAATAGACTCACATTTATGTGTACCGAATCCTTGTCAATTTTTATTCGCGTGACGATGAATTCCACGCTTTATTCGAGAAATTTTCCCCTATTAACTATTCTCCTCGCTGACCCGGCTGCTTGGTACGGAATGCATACGCATAAGCATATCTGTCTACCACCCAGCACCAAATGGTTAAGTAAACGGTTTCACTGCCAACTTAAAAGTGCTCTACGAGCACACGAAAACGGCAACTGGCACGAAACCTTACCGCTCGTTCTTTTAGGGATCAGAACGAGCTTAAAGGCAGATATCCAATGTTCCGCCATTGAACTTGTATACGGCACGACATTGCGTCTGCCCGGAGAATTCTTCACACCACGGAGCAGACCTAATTTCGGTAAATCAGACTACGTCCATCGACTGTCTGCATTTATGCGAACGCTGTCTCCGGTGTCAACTCGAATACAACATCGACAGGTCGCTCTCCCTCGAGAGTTATCTACCTGTTCACATGTTTTCGTACGAGTAGATTCGGTACGCAAACCTTGGCAACAACCTTACGAAGGCCCTTTTCACGTGATCGCTCGTCACGAAAAGACCTTCAAGGTTGATCGACATGGCCGCGTCGAGATCGTCAGCATTGATCGTCTCAAACCAGCACACGTCGATGACAGTGCCCTATCTGATAACCTGAGATTCAATGCTAGACCTATCAAACCTACTAGCGGGATCCTCAAACCATCTTCAGGTCCCACGCTAGATACATCTGAGACCTCATTCTCACGTCCCAGTCAACAGCACGCGTCATCTGCACCGTCTACGGACGAGACGACAGTCTCACGTCCAGATCAGCAGACCACGCCGCCCTTGACTTCGGATGAGATTGCAGGCTCACGCGACGCGAACGAGACTACCGTCTCACGTTCCGGTCGCCGAGTACGGTTACCCGTACGCTTCCGCGACTAGTCGCACAGTCAACAACCGATACGGTGTAGGACTATTCCTATACTACACGCATGCTACACTCTTCTCTTTTTGATTTTCTTTTTGTTTCCTGAGCCCACGCCTTCGACCATCTCCGTTTGGTTCCGTCGACTTCAGTCAACTTTGGCGAAAGCTGGCCTGATCACCCACGCTCTTGTCAACGTACTCAGTCGATATTTTGGTTTCGAATGCTTGGCATACGCTTGGTCTCGAACTTGGTCGTTATGGTCGCTTCTGGTTCATCGGATCAACGTGGTTTCGTCCTTCGTCTGCAGCGTTTCTGGTCCGCATTCCCTACGAACGCCC